AAACTGGTTTGTAATGAGAGGAAGCAAGTACATGCTGAATTCTTCCATTGAAGTCTATGGTCCCTAGTCTTGTACACTTTTGCTTGGATTATGCCCTAACATATAGCCTTCATGGGATATTGGGGGGGGGAGTAGCAATTGATTAGTTACAGAATAATTGAGTCATTTAACCCAACCCCCTGCAATGTGGGAATCTCAAATAGATCATCCATGACAGAAGGCCATACATCCTCTACTTACATGGTTAGCTTGTTTTAACTTCTCCCATGTCTGCTTATCTTTGCTTTTTACTAGCAACAACAAACTGTAGGAGTATTCAACAGTGCCTCCCAGTTCCCATCATCCCCAATCAGCATGGCAAATGGATTAAGGAAATTTAGTCCAACAGCATATTGAGGGCACTGTATTGGCTATTCCTGGCATAGTGTATACCTATAATAGACATACAATAAATCTAGTGCATTCATCCTATTTGTTGAGTTGTAGGCTTCTGAATGGGGTGGGCAAACCTAGTCTTTGGTAATTGATTTTCAAACCTGGTTTTCAAAGAGCACAGTGGTTGGGAACAAATACTAATCAGCAATGAATTATTGGCAATAAACAGAACCTATTCCTTTTTAAAAATAAAAAAGAAACGAGCCATCTCTTTCACTTAACTAATGGTGATGCTATTTAAAGTAGTTCTTAGATCACCCAAGTAAGAACAAACTTTCCTAAGCAAAACACAAACTGACCCCTTAAATCCATTGCATTGAAAAGTGTGTTAAGTCCACTTCTAGTCCCAACCTCTTTCATCAATCCACAGTGATAAGTTTCTAAATAAAGAGGTACTGGGGCTCTTAGTCAACTATATACCGTTTGATCGTTTATTTGTGTGTGTTTTTTTAAAAACAAAACAAATGAACACCAAGCTTATGTAATTTTGTAAAGTGCCAGAAATACTGATAGCACCTTTGCCTCCAGACCTCCCTTTTAGTGTGTAATCATTATCATTTGCACTCATACTATTAGGGTGGTTGCACACATTATTCCTTTCAGTACTGTATGCGCCTGTGGAAGCTTTGGTGTGGTCACACTGCTTTATTTCCAGTCAGTGCAGAACCCATAACTACCTGTTGAAATCCTGTACTTTTTTCTACCACAACATTCTGGTTAACTTTTTTGTCCTGCGTTATAGCCCCTTTGGATGGCAATAATTTGGAAGCATTGGGGAGGCATCACAGAACAAACAACCAGAATAAAACTACCACTAATGCACTATTATTGCGTCAATAATACCCTGCAGAATACACCCACAATTAAACACCAGCTAGTGACAGTCTACCCATTTATACAATCACAGAATTGAAGAGGAAAGGGGCAGCACGCCTGGACATCAGACTGATTAAGCACACACAAATCACCTGGTCATAATCTTCCCCATTGTGGTGAGATTTTATTTCTATTTAAATTAAGTAATTATTTCCAAATTAGCATGTGCACCTTTTAAGAAATTACTCTTTCATCCACTTCTTGGGTGGTTTATTTCCTCCTTTTTGCCAATCCATAAGTGGCCACTCCAAGACATTTCCTTGTCTTGTGGCTGAGCAGCAAGCAACACCTGCCTTTCCCCAAGTACCCAAGGCTGGCCAAGTTATTTTGGCACCTGAAGCAGAAAATCCCACAAATTCCACTCCCTGGAAGTAAAAATACAACAAATATTAATTGTATACATTACAATGTGCTGCTCTTTCATGACACCCAAAACCAGCTGCCTACTATTAGGGCCAACCTTACCCATATCTGCTAAACTATCGCTGGGTTATAACTGTCTCTGTCAATATGTGTACTGGCAGAGTTAATTCCAACAAATAGCAAATTGTAATCGTTACCTGCAATAAGCAAAACCTTCTGCACTTCAGCGACTACCCATGAGCGCAACCAACCACTTTTCCTCTTCTGTATTTTATTTGCATATCTGAAGGGTACCGATAGTTGTCATTGGACGTGTAACGTCTGACCTCTTGTCCACATTCCAGTTTTACATTCTTCTCCCCACAACAAACAGGAACTGCCCTAGCAACCATCTGGACCAGCTTAGTTGCTTGGTTCTCCCAGAAGGAAAACCTGCCCATCTTTTTTAGTTCAGATCTATGTCACTGAAGCAGCTTTTGATTCAGCCTAAAGGTCAAGGTCTTTAGCACCGACTAGGAAGAAAACTGCGTCGCAGCAGTACAAAGGTGTGCGTATACAATACATTTTGGGAGGAATTGTTGTAAATAACTCGGGGGAATTAACAGCATTTTCTGTGCAAGTTATTGGAGCTGAAACCCAGCAGAAAACTCTTCCCCCAGGAAACGATGGGGAGCAATGAGAAGAAGAGGTGTGGGAGGAAGAGGTGCTTAACCATTTCTCTGCCTGGCACGCCTCTACTCTAAACAGGAATTTGTGAAGTCACGTGTTAGGAACACTTTAGGGAGAAGCAGCTGATGTGGCAGTTTGGAGTGCAGAAGTGGTGGCTGAAGAAAGACTGCATACCGCTCTCCACAATTCTGAATTATCCCTCCAAAAGCAGCTTTACTTGGGAAACAAACAAACCAAAAACACCCACCAGCCATGATTAGGACTCTGATATGCACATTCCCATGCAATGTTATTTCCTTAATACTACAGTTATGAAACTAATAAATATGGCCCATCTTTCTTGTAACTGTGTAGTTATAGTTTTCTGTGTCAGTTTGTTTCATTCTGTATTTACATAACTCAAGAAATTATTGGTTTGCAAAGCAAGCCTCAATGAGACTCTGATTCCAGCAGAGTGATCTTTTAAAATATCCTGCTAGAGCTTAGTTTTCAGTCTAATAGTAAGACTTGAAGCTAAAGTCTTGCATGGTTTGCCATGGGCACACCTCCACTCTTTTGTTCAAGTCTGGATTGGCTGGGAAGAGTAAGTGTCCTGTGACACCTTCCTTTTAATTAACAGCCTACACACAGCATCACTGGTGCCAATGGAGGCAGCTTAGGGGTAGGGTTCAACAGGGGCAGCAGGGGAGGGGGAGGATTATACAACCTCCCTGTCCCTGATGAACCTGGTTCTGTTTTAGGACCCTCACTGCTGCTCTTTTTATTTTTATAATGTTAATTAGGTAAAGGTAAAGGGACCCCTGACCATTAGGTCCAGTCGTGGCCGACTCTGGGGTTGCGGCGCTCATCTCGCTTTATTGGCCGAGGGAGCCGGCGTACAGCTTCCAGGTCATGTGGCCAGCATGACTAAGCCACTTCTGGCGAACCAGAGCAGCGCCCGGAAACGCCGTTTACCTTCCCGCTGGAGCGGTACCTATTTATCTACTTGCACTTTGACGTGCTTTTGAACTGCTAGGTGGGCAGGAGCAGGGACTGAGCAACGGGAGCTCACCCCGTTGCGGGGATTCGAACTGCTGGCCTTCTGATCAGCAAGTCCTAGGCTCTGTGATTTAACCCACAGCGCCACCCACGTCCCTTATAATGTTAATTACAGTCACTTAATTAGTTTGGCCTGTTTATATTGGCACAACCAAAATAATCATAGTACTCACTATTGCAATGCTTAGAGCAAGAGTTGCCAACACTTGAAATCAAAAATTTTGGTACCTAAGTGGGGCCAAGAAGCAGATTTCTCTGGCTCAGGGGGCAAAAGTTATGGTTAGTCTGGTAGTTTTTGCCCTGGTGGAGGTGGCAGCAACTTGCGTGAATGAATTTGCTTCCCCTCCCCTGCCTGCAATTGAGGAGGAGCCAAGCCTTGCCTCTGCTCCTGCCTGTGCTCCCAGAAGGATTTCTCCCCATTAAGTAATAAGGCATGCTGGACTTTGGAGATTTCTCTCCCTGAGACTGCTTCTGGGCAGGATGATAACTAGGAGGGAAGTCTCCACAGTGACAACTGCTCCAGACATCGAGCCCAATGTGGTTCCCTTCCCTCTCAGCTGAATGGACAATACCAGAGGGTTTCTTGGTCTTGCCCCTCAGAGATTTCACACTTTGCCCAATTGCATTATGGACAAGCTGATGACCCCTTAGTGGACTCCCCCGTTTCTTCATTTGCCTCTGGGATTAATGCAGCCAAGGGTGATGATGATCTCCCCAATAATGCTGAGGATCAAAGAATGGAGATGGTTCTCCAAAGGCTTCATGAAGCCATGGCCCTAGGCATTAGGACATCTGCTACTGCATCTTTATTTCTGCAGGTGTCCTTGTTCTGGGCTAAGGCTCTGCTTAAGGAGGCACCTCAGAGGTGTTTGCACCTGGCGCAAGGTTTATGTAAGTTAGAAAAAGCCCCCGCCTTCATGGTGATGCTGGACTAGGTGCCATACATTTTCTTGCAATAGCATTGGCTGCAGAGGCAAAAACCATGATTTGTTGAAATGCTATCATACGAAATGTTTATATTTAGCAAATAGGAACTGTGCTACAAGGGTAGGTCTTATTTGCGGGTCATGGGAGTCTACAAATAGCACTTTCCCCCGTTTCTTTCTCCACTGAAATGTTTGTCTTAAAATAACAGCTGTTTTGCTTATTGTCAGATGATGCTTCTGTTGTCCAGCTCCTTTGATTTGTTAAAACAAAATGTCAGTGACTCCACAGAGCACGTGCCCAAAGGGCATTCCTTAGTGCTAGGGACAATAAATACAGCGATCTTTGCCGCTGCCATTTAAACTGGCCATCGTAAATCAATCCTTTTCTGAAGACTGATACGTGCCGAGGATGAAAATAATTGGTGACCAGCACAAAGCCTGAGCATTAGCTAAGCTTGGAGTGGACCTATGAGGTATAGAGGGTCATGCGCAGGCCACCCTGAGTAGCATTCATTTCCCTATATTTAAATATTTTGTATATATCATGAGCCAATAAATCTCATATCCTTGGGGGAATCCTCCAGCAAATTACCGCGGAGAAGCTGCAGCGCTACACAACAGCTGTACTGAAATGTCAGAAGGGGCTTACACAGCTGACACAAGCTGCTGAAAACAGAACATGGCAGCACTTCCATAAATTCTCCTCCCCCAGCCAAGCGCTGCTTAATATAGACCGACCATATGCTCCAGCCCTTGCTCACTCTTACACAAGCATCTCCTAAGACTGAGTTGTACTGCAATTTCGGGCAAAAAAAATTAAAATCTTTCCCACAAACCTTAGGGGCATTGAGGGTTTCATAAAACTGAAGAAGATATAACCAGCTCTGGTTATTGTCTTTCTTAAATTTCCTTTAGGCGTTTCTGGGTCTTTTCTTTTTCTTACATCAACAAAGAACATGTCTGAGTTCAGCCAAAACTCTGACCAAGAAGAAATCTGTTCCGAAGAGATTGATGAAGATGAAATCCTAGCAAACCTCTCCCCCGAAGAACTGAAGGAGCTACAATGTGAAATGGAAGTCATGGCTCCAGACCCCGAAGTGCCAGTTGGAATGATACAGAGAGACCAGACTGAAAAGCCACCGACGGGAAACTTTGATCACAGATCTCTTGTTGACTACCTGTATTGGCAGAAGGCCTCAAGGCGGATGCATGAGGATGAACGAGTGCCTGTCACTCTCTTGCCATCGGAGGTAAGAAACAGGAAATGCAACTATTCTGCATGCTTCTCGTGGTGACGTGGGGACTACAACACACCGAATAGCAACATCTAAATAATAATTAGATTAATTGAATTGTGCTACAAGGCTTGGGGGGGGGGTATTTTGCAGGCTTTTATAAATGCAGACAGAGTAGACCTTCTTGGGAAGGAAGTTCCATAGCGAAGAGCTCCCACCCAAAAGGTCTTTCTCCACATCCTAGACAAATATACCTGTCTCAGAGACTGCCCTTGGACTAAGCCGCTGCCTGGGATCTTAAAGGGAAAGCGAGCTTGTATAAAGGAAGGTGCTTCCTAACTATTTTAGCCGGTATGTGGTTTTTGAATCAGTTTTAATTATTGTCATATGACCTAAGCCCAATGAATTACTGGATCAGTGCAGAAGCTCACATGATCAGGTGTGAAGTCGGAGAATAAAAATGGAGTTCTAACACAGGAAGAGCAAGACATGCTGCTGTGCCTTTGCTTTCCTTACTTCTGTGTGATGCAGGTATGCTGTGCAGGAACACCTTAGACAGGCACTGGAAACTGATGGATATACACACCCTCCTAGAGATGAAATGGTGAGGTCTTTTGGCTGGAAGATGCTCCCTGACTTCCATGGGAGAGGGGAGATTCATTCTTGAATGCAACATAAGTCAAATGGTTCAAATAGATAATACTCAGCCTTGGAAGAATTGATTGATGGATTAAAGCCATTTGTGTCCTGCTTCTCTTATAATTAAACACAGCTCACAACAAAAGATGCAAAAATGAAATATGGAAGTACAGAGAATTAAAAGCAGCAATTTAAACATTTATCTGTGTAAGCAAAAGCAATTCAAGCTATGAGGAAAGCAGAAACAGAGTAGCAGGCTCATTCTTCTCAGATACTAAAGAGGCAAAGATATGGGACTTTTAAGCTCTTTTTTTTAAAAAAAAAACCAAAACAAAAACACCACTATTTTATTTTATGTATTTCATAAAATTTATACACTGCTTGACTCAAAAAACAACAACCCCAAAACCTCAAAGCGGTTTAGGAAAAGAGAAACAATAAAAGTGGGGGGAGGAAACCATACTTTAAAACATACAAATGCAAGAATTGCAGGGGAGGGAGTGGGAATCATGTTTTCACAATAACTCAGAATTTCAGTCCTAGAGCTAAGGAAACATGCTTCCTTGCTTGGGAAGCACTGAGGGGAATGTCCTTTGGATCACATGTAATAAGCCAGGAACAATTGTGTACTTGGTTTTGTTTTGCTTTTCTATTACAAGGTTTAGAAACGCCTTGCCTTAGGAGAAGGTTGTGTACTGACTTTTCACAAGACTATTCCTGCATAGAAGTGCTCAGGAGTCTCACCTGGGCAGGATGAAGATGAAGTCAGATACCAGGCACTGATAAGTGAGCAGCGTAAATCAGTTAGAAATGGTCAGGTGTCAGCGGAGGTTTGGGCAAAATGTAGTGGTTTAGGAGAAATAGTGGAAGAGAGAGAAGTGACTTAGTCAACAGAGAAGAACAGAGAAATAAAACAAAAGGCACAGACAGAAGAGTGGGGTAGGAGACCTGTCTCACCCTTTATTGCTCCTGCTCCATTAGATACAGTAGATCTAACAGGATATGAGACAACAAAGAAAAAGACTGAGAATTGAAATTAGGGTTCCATAACCCCGCCTGGCTGAAACTGAGACATTGCTTAAATATTTTACTGACTCTTACAGTTACTGCTGCAATTACACCAGGACTAGTAGAAAGACTGTGTTGTGCTTAGTATTGCTCTAAAATTATTCAGGAAAAGCCAGACGAAGTGATGACGGCAAAGCATGCTAATTAAAAAAATATATACTAAAAAGATTTTAGTATAATCAGGTATATAGTGTGAGGCCCACCAGAGAGATGCTTGGAGGATAACAATGAGAGAACAGGCCTTTCCTGTGGTAGCGCCCCAATTGTTGAGTGCTCTCCCCAGGCAAGCTTGCTTGGTGCTGACTTTGTCATCTTTCTGGTGCCAGGCAAATTTACTCTAGCAGGCATTATAAATTGCTTTAGGATGGCTGGAAATTAAACTAAACTACCAGGATCTTTAACAACTGCCTAAGCTAAGCAGGTCCAGGGGGAAAGGGGGCACCGAGTTGGAAATTATATGGATTCCGATACCTTAGAATTACCAGAAAAATATGGAGTGGAAATCTAAACATTGAGCATATCTCAGCTTTATTGTCTTTCGGACCAAATAATGTGTACTATGATTGCTCTCAACATTTTAAAAATAGTAAAAATAACCCCCTAGTAAGTAGCCAATGGCAGGACAGAACATGAGCAGGGTGGGTTGCTTACCTGGCTTCCCATGCAGAGGTCACTGCTAGTAACTGTAAATGAGAGGGGAGAGGTGGCAGGAAGTGTGATGCAGTGTGGGCACGGCTGCAGACCCAATTCAACCCTCACTGCTGCTGCCCCACACCCACACCAACTCTCCCTGACCCCTCTCACACTTACTGTAATTATTGCAGTCACTTCCATATTGCCCTACCCATCTGCCTCAGTCACTATATTAATAATAATAATTATAATATTATAATATAATATTTTTTATTTATATCTGCGGTTAAGCCATTGGGCAGCTCCCATGAATTTAAATACAAAATAAATTTCCAATAATTTTAGTATTTGTACCCACCATCTGACTGGTGCTTCAGCCACTTCAAATCATACAAAAAAATAAAACATTAAAACTTCCCTATCAGGGCTGCCTTCAGATGTCTTCTATAGCTTGCCTAGTTACTTATCTCCCTGACATATGATGGGAGGGCATTCCACAGGGCAGGCGCCACTACCAAGAAGGCCCTCTGCCTGGTTCCCCATTACCTCACTTCTTGCAGTGAGGGAACTGCCGGAACGCCCTCGGTGCTGGACCTCAGTGTCTGGGCTGGACGGGGGTGGATCCGCTACTCAGACACTACTGAAAACCCCACATGTATGTTCTTTTACAGTGTCCTGTGGGGCTTGTTTAATGTCCACCTGTATCTGGTGATGGAGGAAGAAATGCTATGGTTACAGTAATTCTAAAACAATAGTTATTTTGTGGATAGGAAAACAGGGCAATCAGTGGAAGGAAATGGATGTTTTAGCCAGAAGACCAATACATTTGACATCCAGAGGGATCTGTGGAGAAATGGAACAACCAGACTGACTGCAGAATGAGTCCAATAATGTATATTATTTTGAAACCCATTATAAAATAATGAAGTAGTTATTTCCAGATTTTGACATATGAAAGGTTATTGTATAATAGTAATGTAGCAGACAAAGCCAATTAAACTCAAATAATATTGACATCAGAGCATTTGGACTGTGAAAAGTAAAGAATAAATTCCAGCATAGTACATACTGGAATTTAGAACTGTGTATTTTCTTTTAAAGTAACTCATCTGCACAGTGGGGAAACAAATTCAAATGTCACATCAAGTTTGTTGGTTTTATTTAGTAGATGAGGCAAAACTATTTTAAATTATTTCAGCTCTTAGCATTCTGTTTTCTGCAGAGACACACTGTGGAGAAGTCCGAAGAAAATTCTGCAGATATTAGTAATGAGAAGCAGATGGTGAAAACAAATGGAGACGTAAGAGACTATAAAGAGAATGAAGAAGAGGAAGAGGAAGGTGAAGAGGAGGAGGAGGAAGAAGAAGAAGAAGAAGAAGTTGAGGAGGAGGAGGAGGAAGAGGAGGAGGAGGAAGGAGAGGAAGAACAGGAGGAGGAGGATGAAGAGGAAGAGGATGAAGAGAAAGATAAGGAAGAACTGGGAACAAAGAAACCACATGGTGAAGAGGACAGCAGAAGTGAACATGAAACAGAGGGATCAGATGAAAAGCAAGAAAATAATGAAAAGAAAGCATCAAAATTAAATATTCCCAAAAAATTAGCTGTAGATACTAGTTTTATTAAGTTAAGTGCTAGGCCTTCAGGAAATCAAACCAATTTAGATGAGAGCCTGAGAAAGGTCCAGAAGAATGACCCAAGCATGACAGAACTCAACTTGAACAACATTGAGAACATCCCCAAGGAAATGCTGGTGGACTTTGTCAATGCTATGAAAAAGAATAAGCACATCAAAACATTCAGTTTAGCCAATGTGGGGGCAGATGATAATGTTGCTTTTGCCTTGGCCAACATGCTGCGTGAAAACAGGAGCATCACCACACTGAATATTGATTCAAATTTCATCTCAGGTAAAGGAATTGTTGCAATTATGAGGTGTCTGCAGTACAATGAGAAGCTGACTGAGCTACGCTTTCACAACCAGAGAAGCATGTTGGGCCATCAAGCAGAAACGGAGATCGCCAGGTTACTGAAAGCCAACCCTACGCTGCTCAAGATAGGGTATCACTTTGAACTTCCAGGTCCCAGAATGGTGGTTACCAATCTGCTCAGCAGAAACCTCGATAAACAGAGGCAGAAAAGGATAGAGGAGCAAAAGCAGCAGCAACGAAAGCAGCAGAAAGAGCTAATAGCCATGTTAGAGAACGGACTCGGGTTGCCTCCTGGCATGTGGGAATTGCTAGGGGGACCAGTGCCTTCTTCAGTGATGCCTCCTTCGATGCAACCTCCAATGCCACCAGTCCCCAAAGCTCCATCTGCGGGCAGGAAAAACGAGCCTGCAAGAAAACCAGAACCTGAAAAGGTAAGCAGCGGCGACTTCAAAATAGTGAAACTCAAGAGAACCCAGCGGAAACCCACCATAAAAGAATACGTGGAGCCTGCTGAAAAAAACCAACCTCAAAGACGTGATCAAGACACTCAAGCCTATTCCAAGAAGACGGCCACCTCCTCTGGTGGAAGTCACTCCTAGAGATCAGCTACTTAATGATATTCGCCAGAGCAACGTAGCTTATCTGAAACCGGTGAGTGTAATGGGGTGAAAAGAAGTAGGAAAATACTGCAACATCTTAAGATCTTTCATTCAAAATCGAGTCATTTGGGGATGACAACGGCTGTGTGTTGTGGAGACAATGGCCTGGATCCTAAGGGTGAAATTGCACATTGCAAAAGCTGTGTTTCTGAGCCTTTAAATCAGGCACCCCGAAACTCAGCCCTCCAGATGTTTTGGGACTACAACTCCCATCATCCCTAGCTAACAGGACCGGTCGTCAGGGGTGATGGGATTTGTAGTCCCAAAACATCTGGAGGGCTGAGTTTGGGGGTGCCTGCTTTAAATGCAAGGGTTTTCAATTTAGACAAAGTGTCGGTGTATCCCAACCCACCACCCTTGATCCAGATCATCACCCTACCAAGGGAGAGGGTAAGGAACAAATCCTTTACCTCCACTGTAGTCCCAGTCCAGAGCCACAATTTGCACTGGAAGAAAACTTTTGATTCACTTTAATGGGGACATTTTCCATATGCAGATTGCCCGCAGGGAATGATCTGCATATGGAACCATAGGATCATAGTCCCCCTATCTCCTACTCTTATCCTAATTTAAATTGGGTGTCATGTACTGGCAATTTGTATATATAGCTATTTGTATATATAGCTAACATTTGCAGTTATTTATTATTATTTAGTTTTAACATTTGTATACTGTACCACATTTTGCAAAATGAAAAAAAAGCAAAATAAACCACAGGGCAGTTTACAACATAGAACATAATAAACAATATGTTAATATATCCCATAATAGCCAGACAATACAAAACATTAGGATGGTTATGTAGATACAGTTAAGAATAATAAGCAATACATAGTAATAAATATAATAACAGTGCCAAATTATACACACTCTTATAAACCCTGTACAATCCAGAAGCTCATATAACTTGCTTATCTCAGATGCAACTATAAACATAATGCACATCTAATAACAACAGCCTCCTAAAAAAATAAGGGAGGGTGAAATCAGCAGCAGGATATCCAGTGCCCGTGTCACGCTGTTTTGCACCCTAAGCAAGGCTAAGTACACACATCCCAGATGTCTTGTAGAAAAAATGAAATACACAAAACTTGAAACTGCTAAATTTGTAAATTGCAGGAATAAGTAATACAACAATCTTTTATTTTCTTCCTCAAGTACAAAAGAAAATGTTTTAGCACACAAATAACTTTGAACAAACCTGTGATATTAAAATTAAAGCCTCTGAAAAGTCTCTGTTTCAAGCACATCAAAATATTACTTTGGGTGTCTTTTCCTTTACAAATTTTGTCACCTATTCCTTCAGGTGAAGTGTATCTGATGCTTGGGCATGTTCAGTTGATAAAGTTGCCAAGTTTAAGGTGTGACTTTTAAGATTTAAAATGAAGTGCATTTTCACTTTTTATGTAACATAACCTCCAATCAACTCTGCAGTCTATTTCATATATACTTTTTTAAAAGTTCTAATGTATGAATTACCTCAAAAATGATGAAATTCTTCAAAATATAGAAGTGAAATACTATCAGAAATTTAGAAGATGTAACAAAATTAATCTGTGTAAAACTGTCCCTGAAAGGTCAGTACTGTGCCCCTCTGAGGTCTGTACTCTAGGCAGCCTAAGAATAGCACCAGCCCTGAGGATATCTAAACCTTCAGAAAATGTGTAAGAAATGCAAATACCTCTCTGAACAAACGTAACTCTTAATTCCCCATTCACCAGAGAAAATTACAAACCTTCCCACCTTTCACTGGTTCACTTCCTTTTTCTTATCCGGTCTCTCACTCTGAGAGATCTTCACTTTACATACCGCCTCTCACTCACAGTCTTTTCACCATCCATCAGCCACTCTTATGGGGGTGCAGTCCTTGCACCCTAATAAATAAGGAGAAGGAGGTTTCTCCCCAGAAGGAGACACACCAAAGGGGAAATCCCTGTGGTGTCTCCCTATTGAGGTGACCTCCCCCACCACCACCACTGGTGATGGCCATGGAAGGAAAGTTTTCTGTCCCCTTATTTCCACTGCAGATATCTCATGAGGGCTGGAGGAAAGGGCTCCTGAGCCATGTGAGATGGGGGGAAAGGGGGAATGGCCTCTGTTCCTGACTTCTTACCTTAGGATCCAAAGCATGCAAACTTCATTTGTGCACACACATTACAGTGGTACCTTGGGTTAAGTACTTAGTTCGTTCCGGAGGTCCGTTCTTAACCTGAAACTGTTCTTAACCTGAAGCACCATTTTAGCTAATGGGGCCTCCTGCTGCTGCCGTGCCGCCGGAGCACAATTTCTGTTCTCATCCTGAAGCAAAGTTCTTAACCCGAGGTACTATTTCTGGGTTAGCGGAGTCTGTAACCTGAAGCGTATGTAACCCGGGGTACCACTGTAATATTATGTAAATACTAATGATGGAATTTTTGTATTTTTTCTTATTTTAAAAACCCACATTTTTAAAAAAATCCAAACTAAGATGCATGTTTATGGGTGGAACATTTACTGTTTTCAGAAGACAGAGAATTTTAATAGTAGCTATCTAAAGTAATTTTGGAAGGATCCCTTGCATCATGGAGGAACCCATGTTTTGCACCGGTTTCAGTCTCTGGCAATTTCGGCTAAAAGAGAGAGGCTGCCAATCAGACTACAAATAACAACAACAAACAACTTGTTATTTATATGCCGCCCATCAGACTGGGTCGCCCCGGCCACTCTGGGCGGCTTCCAACAAATTAAAACATATTCCCAGGCTCAACATGCAGATGTCAGTGGGGGTGGTGTTGCTAATATGGCCATATTACGCTGAGTGCAGCCATATTTTGCAGCTGTCAGGTGGATGGCATTAACACTTCATGCGCCTTTCAATGCTGTTGTTATCAGCATTTTTAGATCCATTATAATTGCAGCATTTAAGTCTGTACAGTGGTACTTCTGGTTACATACTTAATTCGTTCTGGAGGTCCGTTCTTAACCTGAAACTGTTCTTAACCTGAAGCACCACTTTAGCTAATGGGGCCTCCTGCTGCCGCCATGCTGCCGCCACCGCACGATTTCTGTTCTCATCCTGAAGCAAAGTTCTTAACCCGAGGTAATATTTCTGGGTTAGCGGAGTCTGTAACCTGAAGCGTCTTTAACCTGAAGTGTATGTAACCCGAGGTACCACTGTATTGGAAACTACCCAGTGCTGGCTTTTGGGTCCCACCCCCTCGGGGGGGGGGAGGGATGAAACATCTTTGTGAGCCTCCTACTTGAGTGGCCCCTCAAGGGGAGCTGGGTTCCTTCTCCTTCACCTCTATCACTGCTGACATTACTAATGGAACATTTGAACAGAAAGCAATAATGAGGAAGAGGCGCAAGTCCTAGAGAGGGCCTGAAAGTTGGCTGTGATCTCCTACCTGAGGGTACCCAATAGTGGCAACCACTGGCCCTTCGGCTACAGTTTGTTTATTCTGATTGTGTTCTCATAAGGGCAACCACAACATATTATAATGATAAAGTGTATTCAGTGGGTCTCTGCATGAAATCTTACATATTGTGGCACCAATATATGCGAGTGATGTATATGTGTTCACACACACTGAAGAGGCTAAAAAGTGCCCAGATTTACCATTTAGTTCTTTTTAATTTTCCTTCTCTCGTCATTTTGCTTGAGGAGGAGCATTTGTTTGAAATCCTTCTGACCCCGGGTGGGGCGTCTCCAGTGTCAGCCACCAAGAGCATTGCAAGATGTGGAGATGCAGGGTGCATTTTCCAACAAATCCCCCCTCTCAATTACACAGCTGGAAAAGCTCACCCACATTAGATCTCTACCCTTAGGGTGTTTTGCATGCCTTGGATGTTTTCACTTGGATCAGGTCCCGTGTCCTGCACCTGTTAATCACTGAGGTCACCCATAGCAGTTACGTTTAATTATGTCTTCCTCGGTAGTTCAGAAGTAATTTTCCAAGCTTGAAAGTCACGCAATATACATTACACCTCCTGGCGGTTCCCTTCATTACGTTAAGACATCTGGGCTAGCTTCCTGTCTGGAAACATGGCAATCTAAAATCAGAGCCAGTTTTAATGCTTTCTGTTTTCGATCTGTTGTAGCATTCTTAGTTTTAACTTGAACTAAATAGCTGTTATAGACAAATAGCCTGGGCAGGGCTAGAGCATTTTATTGTATTTAATGCCCATCATTATTTCTCCTTTTTTTAATATACATTAGTCTAGTGGTTTAATTGTAGCCTTCCAAACTGTAAAACTTCTAGAAAGCTTCAGTCACATAAAACAACACAGGAGAACATTCCTCGAAATGTCCACTTTGTCAATTTGAGGACAGTTAAATGAGGCAGTGGCGTAGCGTGGGTTGTCAGCACCCGGGGCAAGGCAAGTAATTTGCGCCCCCTAACCTGTGGATTTGCGCCCCCTAACCTGTGGATTTGCGCCCCCTAACCCGTGGATTTGCCCTAACCCCAGATGTTGCGCCCGGTGCAGCCGGCCCCCCCTGCACCCCCCACGCTACGCCACTGAAATGAGGGGCTTTTATTGCTAGTGAAAGGGGTGGTGGTCAGTTCACACCTTCTATTCCAGCACTTCTACTTCCCACAATCCATATATTCCCACAATGGAAAATCAGTGGAAATGAGTTTAGAAACATTTAACACCATAAGTCAGAACAGCCTGCAATTACCTTATAGAAGAAATTCCACATACAGTTTGTGACCCGCTGTGCACCTCAGTGAAGAGAAGGAACAGGCTGATGTTGTGTGTGTGCATAAACAGATGAGACACACACCTGGCACTGAGTGTCTTCCAGCCACAAGCACCTTGCAAGGCTCGTTAGAGAACAATCAACAGTCAGCATACTCATCCCATCCATCACCTGGAATGGCCTAAGCTTGTCAGTTCAGCTGTTCATCCCACCTGCAGCTCAGTAGAATGCCTTTTTACCAAGCATATTGCAAAAAATAGTAACACAAAAAGCAATTATAAGCCCGGGACATTTCTAAAATTAAAAAAACCCTCTATATGTACTTGTGGTAGACAACAACTTATGCTGAGCCTGGTAATAAATTTATGTGGAAAGTAAGTTCTGTTGAAATGGATGGATTGCCTAAACTATGCTTTTAGGATTTGGTTGTAAAGAGATCATCTATTGCTTGTAGTGGATTGAATTAATTGTCACAATGTGTCTGGTATATATATATTGAAGGGTATTTTGTTTATACCATGGGTAGGGAATTGAACCCAGTTACCATTCTGTTTCATTTGGAAGAAGATTGTGATGAGGATATATCTCCCCCTCCCCCACTACCTAAATTTACATTTCTTATTTTTGCTGCACAGGTGCCACTTCCCAAAGAGCTGGAGTAGTTACTCCCCATTCAGCTGAAGGAAACAACTTGGAGAAGGAAAGAAAAAGAACAAAACAAAACACACAGACTGTGCAAGTGTTGCTTCATATTGTTCCAGGGCCTGTTTCCTTCAAATGGAAGACATGGGAACAATGCTTAAAGCATGCCACCTGTTGAAGTGATGATTGAAAAGGATAGAATGGAAACAGTATAAATGGTTAATAATTCACACGTACGCTCTTGTAATGGGCTAGTGCCACCCTATAGTCTCCGTCAGCTTGCTGGGCTTTAATTTCAGAGGGTAGGGGCGGAGAGCAGAGGGATATTATCGCCTATGTTATAACTTTTATAGATTTCTTCAGGAAATCCCTGTCGCAATCATGTTGCCTTCTGCTTTTAAACTTTACAGAAGCATATGGTGTCCTTTTGTGAGTTTTTCTTCTCCCCTACTCTCACCCATCCTTGTGGGGCATCTCTGTCTGCCAGCTTCAGCACAGGTGTGTGTTGGGTGTTTGGCAAACCGCAGCTACTTTCATCTTTATTGGATGAAGGATACTGCAACAGAAATGAACATCTACTTTCAGGGATGGTTGCTGTCAGTACTTTTTTCCCTGTGGGTACGAATACGCCTAAACATTTTGTGAATCTAACGGGAGAAGAAACTAAAAAAAATTAGTTTCTTCTCTAACACGGTGAATCATCAGTTCCATTGAATAGCATGGTGAATTTTCAGTTCCGTTGCAACCCCTGATGGTGGCCTCATTTCCTGTCACGGTGTTTTAGATGGAAGCAAGCGTTTAATGTATGAAGTAGGAGTATGAAGCATGGTGATTGGTCAGTTTCGTTGTTACCACCTCCGATGGCGGCTTCATTTCCTTTCCCGGTGATTTTCTTGAGTCAAAGTGAGAGTATCCCTAAACATTTTTTTAAGGAAAAAAAAGCACCAGTTGCTGTACATCAGCCACAAAAGCCGAGATATAGAGGTGTTGGCTGTGAAGACTCCACGAGCAGTGATTTCCTAAGGTTTTAGGAAACCGCTGGCAGGACATCCTCAGTGGGCTCTCCTTACAGCTACCAGCTGTTCCCCTTCCCATTTCTACTATCACATCCATCTAGACTGAAAGCTGGGGAGTAGCAATGGCTGCCCAAAGCTGCAGCTCCTCCTCCTTTACATTGCTGCGGCAGCTAGACTGGTAACTGGGAGTGGCCACCGAGACCCTATAACACCGGTCTTGAAAGACCTACACTGGCTCCCAATACGTTTCCGAGCAGAATTCAAAGTGTTGGTGCTGACCTTTAAAGCCCTAAACGGCCTCGGTCTAGTATACCTGAAGGAGCGTCTCCATCCCCATCATTCTGCCCAGACACTGAGGTCCAGCGCCGAGGTCCTTCTGGTGGTTCCCTCACTGTGAGAAGCAAAGCTACAGGGAACCAGGCAGAGGGCCTTCTCAATAGTGGCACCTGCCCTGTGGAACGCCCTCCCACCAGATGTCAAAGAGAAAAACAACTACCAGACTTTTAGAAGATATCTGAAGGCAGCCCTGTTTAGGGAAGCTTTTAAAGTTTAATAGGTTGTTGTATTTTAATATTCTGTTGGAAGCCGCTCAGAATGGCTGGAGAAACCCAGCCAGATGGGCGGGGTATAAATAATACATTATTATTATTATTATTATTATTATTATTATTATTATTATTATTATTTGCATAGTCATCCACTCTGGCCCATAAGAGGGCAGGTGAGCAAGCAAATGACAATGAGGAGAAGCAGCAGCATGTCACGAGGGCTCTGGAGGATTGGCTTTTGCAGATACCTCACCCTACCACCCGTGGCCATAAAAGCTGGCCTTCAGCTCTCAGCAAAGCTTGTCCATTTAGGTATAGTGTGAGTGGCCTACGTCTGTACCCAAAGGCAAATCGGGGAAGACAGCTGAAACTGGTTTGGAGAACATTTGACGCCACTTCCTAGTCTGATGTGCTGACAGGCTTGCATTCTTTTTTGACAGCTTCAAGTTACAGTGGGGCACTTTCTGCAATTTCATTTATTCTTCTTCATCACTGTCTAAAAACATGGCATCTCGGGCTCTTGGAGAAGAGTAGCTCTCCTTTCACCCCTGGCAGCTCCACCCTGTCCTTGCTGCATCCCTGATTGTCTCTTTCCTTCCCCACTGTCAAGGCCACCCTCTGTATAGCACAGCCATGGGACTGCAGTTTCAGATATCTGCTGGGGCAGCTTGTTAATGGACTGGAGGAGCTGGGCAGAGCAGAGTCCTTTGCTAGATGAGTGACTCCAGGTGCTTGGAGCACTGCCCAGCTCAGAAGTGCAAGTTCATTACAAGCTGGAGGAGAAAACTAGGCCTGGTCCTTGCAGAAGATTGGAGATTAGTCGCTAGAGACAAAGGTGATAATCCACCCTTGGCCAATTATTTAGCAGTTTCTAAAAGCTGGCCTGGCCAATGACTTAATCGGCCAGCTCTTTTCGATTTTTGAAGAGCGAAATACAGCGCTGCAATGTATGTAAGATGAAGTCTTTCCCATATTGTGTGTGTGTGTGTGTGGAAATATTTTGAAAAACAGGTACATGTCCATTTCATTTGTGATCTTTTGCTTTTAGTACTGCAGGATTCCAGAAGCAATTAATATATTGTGGTGTGTGCATGGTGTAAATTCATCCACTTTCTCATTAACTTGTGACAACCAGCTTTATGCCTCTCATTTATTCACCACTACAGCACTTCCATTGCAAAAGCTGTAATGACATTGTTCCCCCCACAAGAGACACGCAAGAACCCCCCCCTTAACACACTTCCCTTATGTAACTATCATGCATGCAGCTGTACCTAAAGACTGAGGCACACAACAACTTTGCTGATGGCAACCTACTTATAAGTTGAGGCCAACGTATTTCTCCTTCCTGCTTGGGAGACACTTGCAATACAGATCTGGAATGAGTAAAACAGGCAGGTACGACATGCTGCAGTGAAAGGTGGACTCTGATATAACATGCAAACTTGAATTTTACTTACGGCAAAGGAGTACAGGCCCTTAAATTCAAAAGAGGCTTATGCTTCAGGCTTGCACAAACTTGAATTTATGTCACACTTATGCCAGTTTAAATTAGGAATCCTGCCGGGCAACTGTTCTATTATACTGAGACATACCAAGCTACCACCTAGCAGATTTATGCTGCCTTAGATAGATCGCATTTTATCACTGTTCGGTTGTGGAGCTACACCACTTACAGATCAATGCAGCAGCTGCCTCCAAGGATAACAACTAAGACAACCTAACCTCACAGCTTTTGTGGTGTACTTTCCACTGACTGTAGCAACAATGAGGAACCTGCAGCCCTACAGATGTTGGACTTCCATCATCCCTAGGCGCCATGGCTCATCATCAGGGATGATGGGAATTGTAACCCAATATCTAGAGGGCCACAGGATCCCCATCTCTGTACATGAACATATCTTGAAAGCTGCTCATCACCCTGTTAATCACAATCAAACTCACTAAGAACACACAGGCTTTGAAATGCTCAATGCAGCTTGGCTATGTAAAATCAATCAAGAAATAGTTTCACAAGCCCCATTGTCAATGAGCACAGCCTTCGATCAGGGTCAGGACGTAAATTTCAGAGGATAGTATTCAATGCTAGCACAAACCCACTGAAGTTAATGGGCATGGCAAACTTTGGTTCATTAATTTTGATGGCTCTACTCCAAGTAGAACTTAGCTGAATACAACCCAGAGAAGGCAGACCTGTGGTTGTCTCGGTTGCTGCCCATGTGGTAGGGAAGTAGAGAAAAACAATGTGATGAGAGATTGGGTGGTGTAGACTTAGGCTGCAATTCTATACCTCCATAGTAAGCTCCATTGAAGGTACAGATCATACACACAATTTGAATTTTAAAATTGTTTTAAGCAACCCTTTTGTCCCAAGAATTGTATCCTGCAGCTTCCAAGTTTTTCAGTTTAGCCATCAAGCAACACTGCAGGAAGGAAAATACAGTAATGTGGCAGCACAGCGAATGGCTGCTCAGTAAAAATATACCTGGGGCAGAACAAAGATGATGTAATCAGCAAACTTCAAGGGTTGCAATATACAGAAGCTCCTGCATAGATGAAAGTTTAGATAGGGATTTGGAGTTGAGCATTGTCTCTCTCTACTCTTGTAGCTATTGCTCACTTGTATGGCATTTCAATGTTCAAAGTTTTACAGTGTTATAGACCCTAATTCAGAGTTACTCAGATCCAGTCAGTACATCTATCAGATCAGTTTTATCTTGCTCAAAATGAATAACTGGAGGATATACAAGAGTGGGACTGCACTTTTTCCTAACTACTAGTCTGACTGAATTCAGACTTAAGTGGGGATCACAGGTAATGGCACAGCTCATCAGCTAGAGCAGTACATGGCAGGGTGTGTGTGGAGAGCAAACAACTATGCACAGCTGCGGTCAATGTTGACAGCCGATACAGCCAGCACCATAAGGAGTTTCTAAACATGGTATCTCTTTGTAAATTTAGGCAAAGGGACTTCAAATTTCATGCCGAGGAACACGTTCAACACGGGTTTCACTGGGAGGTCAGAAGGATAAACTAGCTCCTTATATGTTTGCCTCTTTGTTGCTGCACCCTGAAAAGCAAATAGTGAAGACAGTTCTTTGGAGGAAAGAAAGGGTGGGGAAAGAGAAAGAGAGAGAGCGAGAGAGCAGGTAAGTCAGCAAATTCTTGAAGCCAGGTACTACGAGTTACTGCAGTCCTTTAGTGACATGGATGCAACTTTAAAATAACACATACCATACATTTCACCATGAGATGATCTACCGCCTTCCTAAGCCTAATGGGGGAGAAAATGTCTTAGTTCCCAGGCTATTTTATTGTGCTCTTCTTTGGGCGAATGTCAGGTGAACAACAGACCTTCACACCTAGGCCTCCCCTGTTTCAGGCTCTACTGTCCTCTGAGCACAGTCAGTGGATCATTCCTCGATCACCACATCAGGGAGGCCTGTTTCCCACAGACCGTCCTTTCTCTCGAACTACAGAGGGGTAGGTCCACAGCATCCTATGCCCCCCAGGAGATACATCGTATCTCCCCAAGGTTAAAAGGCACCAACGACACTAGTGAAAAGAGACGCTTCTATCGATAAAGCACAAAGGAATTAAAGACTCTCAATTAAAAACAAAAACAAAAATGAATGTTTTACATGAAAAATAGTGAGAGGGTTTGAGAAGGAAACTCATCTTTTTATACAACCATGACAAGACTATGGTAAAAGTCTACAAAGTGCATTAATTTACAAAGGGATTTGCAACGCCTAGCCTATAAATTCCTGCCTCTGTTACCAGAGATCAATTGTGCATGCATTAAAGCACATCCAAACACTGTTTCTTTGAGTAGACATTCTTCTTCGGAACTCTGTGCATGTTAACAATTCCATGGCCAGGCACATCTCAGCAGTGTTCACAGGGAACAGCAACCCAACAGCAAGATCCACAGAAAATGTTGCATCGCCGGTCATGAAATGGCAATAGAACCAATTCAAAAGAGGGAGTTCTGTCTCTCAACCACGTATTTCAGACACATCACTCTTGCCCAGGTCAAAAACAGAATCAAGAATGTGTCTGCTTTGCACTTGTGATCACTTCCTTTAAAATAATTTGCACTGAGAAAGCATCAGTAAAATTATATTAGAATCTGTGTACTATTTCTTCTACTTTTGAATCAAAATGGCAACGATGGAGCCATTGGCTAAACCAAACACTGAAAAGAATCACTCAGCACAGTTAAAATGAGACAACATACAGATCAAAACCAGTTTACTTCTCTTAAATCCTAGAATACATAGATAGAGCCATATTTCCAACAAAATACTAATCATTTTACAATTAAGGTATGGAATGAGGCATTACATCTCTCAATTTTAAAAAGGAAGAGTGGGCAGAGGACTACAATGCTAACACCAATCCTAAGAATCACATGAGAGAGAGATATTATTCTGTGGACATCTGTTGCATAAATAAACAAGTCTGATCACAGCACATAAATACACAGGAGAAAGAAAATGCAGGTGTGTGATATGCAATGTTGGACTAGAATAAAGTTTTCAACCATCTTTCAAGCAAAAATTCAAGGTGCTTTAAATATGTTGTAAAAGGTTGCATGAACTGGTTTTTCCCCCTTATAGGAAATAAAACCAGGAC